TGAAAAAAATATTTCACAATATTACTGCCTTTGCTGTATTTTGGATCAAATAAATGCAGGCTTGGTGAGCAGATCTTTAAAAAACATGAAAAATCTTACTGTTGAAAAACTTTTGACTGGTAGTGTATATATATATATATATATATATATACACTACCAGTCAAAAGTTTTTCAACAGTAAGATTTTTCATGTTTTTTAAAGATCTGCTCACCAAGCCTGCATTTATTTGATCCAAAATACAGCAAAGGCAGTAATATTGTGAAATATTTTTTTCCTATTTAAAATAAATGCTTCCTATTTTAATATATTTTAAAGTGTAATTAATCCTGGGATCAAAGCTACATTTTCAGCATCATTACTCCAGTTTTCAGTGTCGCATCATCCTTCAGAAATCATTCTAATATGCTGATTTGCATGGTACAAAAGATTTCTATTTCAGATAAATGCTGTTCTTCTGAACTTTCTATTCATCAAAGAGACCTGAAAAAATTCTACTCAGCTGTTTTCAACATAATAATAATAAAAAATGTTTTTGAGCAGCAAATCAGAATATTAGAGTAATTTCTGAAGGATCATGTGACTGGAGTAAGGATGATAAAAATTCAGCTTTGAAATCACAGGATTAAATTACATTTAAAAATATATTCAAATAGAAAACAGTTATTTTAAATAGTCAAAATATTTCAAAATTTTACTGTATTTGCTGTACTTTGGATCACATAAATGCAGGCTTGGTGAGCAGAAGAGACTTACCGTTCAAAAACGTTTGATTGGTAGTGTATATATCAGTAAGATGTTTTTTATTGTATTAATTTTTAATAAATAAATATTAATTGAAAAATGTTAAATGTTAAAATGACCCTGCATGGTTTCTCTTATTCTAGGGGCAAATCCTTGACCAACATTGTTCCATCAGGAGCAGACTTTTTTGGTTTTTCTCACCCCACCATTCAGAACCTGATCCAGAGCTGTCCTGGGGCTCGCAAATGCAGCAAGTGAGTAGCAGCAATGTTGTAGTTATGCCATCAGTTAAGTCATGAAGTTACCAGAAAGGCCATTAAAGCTGCCTTAAAACTGCATGTCTGTATTTATGTATTTGTTATATGAGTCACGTTTCTCTGTCTCTGAAATGCAGTGGTTTTCCAAACTGTCCTGGAGCAGCCCAGCACTGTCTCCCTCATCTAACACACCCGAATCAACTCATTAGTAGAGACTTTAAGTCCAGAAGTGGGTCAGAAAAGGTAAAGAGAGATGTGTGTCAGATGCACTTCATGTTCAGCAGCAGCTCATAAAGGGATAGCAGCCAATAACCTAATAACCAGCTGCTGTAATGTCTGTTAATCAAAGATCAAAAGAAAAAAGAGGAAATCAGTAACTTTTGTAGCTTTAAAGATTCATATATATAATTTATAATTTAGTGTTTGATAACTCTATTCAATTTCTGTAGATATCCTACTTGCTGAAGGGCACAGGTAAATGTGACAGTTTATGTGAAGATTGTTTTATGTTCACTTAAAGGGAGAAAGGAAAACTTGAAATCGCATCATATGACCCCTTTAAATTAGAAGTTATTAGTAGTCTATTAAATGTTAAAATTGATAGCTCTTGTAATGTTGAATGGCTAGTCAATGGTTAAATATTAGGGGAAAAAACTATTTCATAGAGACATCAGTAGTACTGGTATCAGTGATACTGGCCTTCAGTCATAAAGATGTCAATACAAATATGAAAAAACATGTCTTTATGTTGTTTCTACATTAATTTAAAGATTGAATGTAAAATTATTGCTATGTAAAAGTAATCTTAAATTTTAACGTTATGTGGGATTTGATAGCTTTCAATTATACTGTAATGTTGAATGGCTAGTCAATGGTTAAATATTGGGGGGGAGGACTATTTCCTATATATTCCTTATTGCAATATAAAAGTATATTTAAAAACTTTAATAGTAGGTGGGATTAATCGTGATTAATTTCAGAAAAAATGTGCGATTAATTAGTTAATTTTTTTATCGATTGACAGCACTAATATATAGATAGATAGATATATAGATAAGCCCGTAACTGATGAAAATAACCGTCATTTTTACCCTTCCGGTCAAATTTTGCACTGAAAACATTGTTAACAGCTTTAACTTGTCAATTCTGCCAAATGACCATGGTATAAGCGGGATAATGCATGAAAAGGTATAATAAAATATTTACAAAAATGTGAGGGGTGTACTCACTTCTGTGAGATACTGTATATATGCACATATGTGTATATGTGTGTATATATAGGTTAAAAGCATCTGCAGATTTGCAAAAATGGAAAAACAATGTGCCTGGGGTACTTGATTCCAAGTGTCCTGAGAGGATGGGCAATGGAATTTATTTTATTCAATGTCCTAAACCCAACCAAAATAGAGCAGAATGTCCCTAAGCATTCAACCCCAATCCCAATAAAGATGAAAATGTTTGTTCTTTGGTTGTCTTACTCTCATTGAGTTACAGTTTTCATCTGCTCATGCAGAACATTAGCAAGGTATCTTTGGCTAAAACTTGCTAACGTTAAAGTTAGTGAGTCCATGCTGACGTTCAAACCTAAATTGCAAACTGTTCTCACGTAATGTACAGTGTAGGTCAAAAACAGATAAATTAAGGTCTACATTTCAATGCCTCTCCATATTACACTGGTTAAATGTAAATTAATTCATTTAATTTAATTAATTTAATAAATTCATTAATTTAAGTCATTGTGATCGTGACAACCGTAACACGAGGCTTCTTCCGTTTGCATTGTGATCTGTATTTTTACATATTTATTTTAAAATCTTTTATATATCCCTCCATAGCATATTTAAGTCCCCCTTGAATGACTCCGTTTGTTTATCTGAGTGAGTGGCAGTAACTAAGGGGGGCGGGACTTACCAATAGGTCAATTGGGCTGGTTTTGTTTTGCAGACCTGGCAACCAGTGAAAAGCGAGAAGACTTTACATTGTGGTTTTGTTTGTTTATGCAGCAGTCTGTGGTGAGGCGGCTGCCACTTCAAGCACGTTCTCACTCCCCAACTCATCACACATTGACGCTTGGTCAGGACTCTTTGGCGTCACTTTTTGATGCACAGGGGTCCCCCTTTAGTGTCAGTTTTCGACATGCAGGGTACTCTGTTGCTTTAAATAAGAAGCTTCGGTGTCAATATGCAGACACAAAGGGCATGAGAATTTTATGGCGATGATTAAATTATATATTGGGTAATAATTTTGCCACTTTTAAATATATGTTGGGATGTGATTTTTAATTTAAACAGTCACAACAAATTTATTTGCGTTATTTACACATTTTTTAACAATTAACCCAACCCCTACTCCCAAACCTAACCAATTGTCAATATAAAACATAGGATATAAAAGGCATACAGTCACAATTTATTCAAAAAGTATTAATATTCCAATTCTTCCGAGGAAAAACAATAGATTTGTGAGATGAACAGGCTTGATCACTGTCTCCGTCCACCGTAAAGCTCAGATCATGTGTGCAGTCTGTTCACAAATTCAAAAATTGCTGCCAGAGGAAGCCTTTTGTTATTAAAGTTATGTTTGCTAGATCCCACCTCCTTGTTCCCAGAGTCTTGAGTCTTGGATGAGACCCAGGGTTTGAAAACCTTTGTTTTAGATCATAACAATGTCCATAACAGTTTAGATCATAATTGCAGGGCTATACGTTAACTTTTTTTTCACATAGCACTGGTGCTACAGAGGATGAAAGTTTTGTAGCACAGGCCAAAAAGTTGTAGCACAAGTATAAAACGTCTGTTATCATGTCTGAAACAAACACAAGTAATGGAGTTCATCACTTAAACAGGCACCGATGTTCCATACAGAGCACAAAAAATACAAACCATCACAAAAATTGTTTTTAGACAAATTTTTCTTAATTTGCTAAAACTGGAAGAGTGCAGAAACATAACACCTCTTACACATTTGCAAAATATAAAATAAAAAAGAATTATCGCACACCCCTAACTACCAAGTATAATCAATCTCACACACACAAACAAGCACAACGAAATCACTTCTCACTATTAAGCGGCTGTGTTATGAACAGGCGAAACGGTATCGCACGTGTGCTACAGTGGTAAATTTATTCATCGCACAGACCAGTTTTTTAATAGCACGTGCGACATATATGTCGCACTGTACAGCCCTGTAAATGTATTAATGACATAAGCGGGGCCACTGTGCAAAATGTCAATTAAGAATAATTTTGTCTCCCTACTTTAGTTATCAGTGGGTGCGTTTTGAGGTTTGTCGGCCTGGTGATGGGCAGGTGGCGCATGGACTTTCAGAAGATGATGCATCTGTGAACTTTGAGTCCCTTCAGCGAGTGCAAAGCTGTGAGGAGAGCCTGGCCAGTCAGAACCTTACAACAGAACACAGCAGCACAGGTCAGACAATTACCACAAACCACAACCAAACATTTTTGCATAATTATATTATTGCTGTTTCTCAAGTCATATTTATATAGTGCTTTATACAATACAGATTGTTTCAAAGCAGCTTCACATTAATAAACAGAAAAATTACAGTGTTGTTAATGTTGTAAAATTCATCAATTATGAAACCAGTTCATTTTCAGCTGTAAAGCTGCTCTACAGAAGACAATAGTGTCATTATTCAGATCAAATTATTTCAGTGTTGTTTCAGTTAAGTTCAGTAACTGTCATTGTTGCAAAGTTCATCAGTTATGAAACAAACTATTCAATTCAGCTATAAGCACCTCTACAGAAGATAGTGGTGTCGTTATCCAGCTCAATTCAGTTCAAATGTGCTCATTCAGCAATGCTGTTAAATCAAAATATTACTGAATATTAAAGGGGTCATATGATGCGATTTCAAGTTTTCCTTTCTCTTTGGAGTGTTACAAGCTGTTGGTGAATAGATAAGATTGAGATCCCTAAAGTTGAAATCCCTAAAGAAACCCAGAGATGTTCTTTATAAGAGTTAAGACTCGTCCACACCCTCCTAAAGCGCCTCGTTTAAACATAACTTTTATTCTCGCTGTAGTATTGTTGCCGCTGCCGCTGTAGTATTGTTGGAGACGCTGTGTTTCGTTGTGAAAGTGAAACTACTTTGTTTGGCCTTCCAAAAGAGGACACAATTAGAAATCATTGGTTAAGTTGTATTTACAACACTGTTCTAGAACAGTTCAACCCAAATATTCAGATGTGTGCAACGCATTTTACGGAGGACGAGGACTGTTTCCTGGGAGAGTAGCCTACGATGCCAGTGTTCTGACAAATTATGCTGACTCAGCCTGTAAGTACGTTTTCATATTTAAAGGATTTGCCACTGACGATTCAAACGTGAGTTTTGAGCAGTGTAGAGTAGCGCTTGTTGTTTGTCGTTTCTCCGATCACAAATGCAGACATGGTTTTATGTTTACGCGGCGCGATGCAACGCAACGCAACACGTAAAAAGACAGTATAAGTAATTATAATCCGTAATTATGTCCCAACTGGATGCTACAAATGCCTCGTTTGTAATAGGTTTTATTGGTTTTGTCTCTTCGCTCCGGGACATGGCATCACAATATGGTAAGAGGAGTAACATTTCCGTCACACGCTTGATGTATTCGGCCAATCACAATGCACTGGATCAGACCAATCAGAGCACACCTCGCTTTTCAGACCGATGAGCTTTGTAAAAATCGACGCGTTTCAGAAAGGCGGGGCATAGAGGAG